GGGAGCGGAGCAGCAGCGGCCAGCAGCGGGGCGCGGCGGCGTGGCGGGTCGCGGAGGTGCGCGGGGCGGGGCGGGGCGGGGCGCTGGAGGACACGCAGAACTTGTTCAACAACAAGGCTCGCGGATCGGACCGCGCTGTTTAATTCCGATAGTCGTCATTCAGTCGAGGAGCAGCGCTCGCCAATCCGTTTGGGACTGCTGCGCTCCCATAGAGGTCGCGCCCACGCTGGGCTCCAGACCCGCGACACCCATCTTCCGCGTGCGAGCCCCGCGAGCCCGCCACCTGCCCGCGCCCGCGCAGCCTCGCCTCCGGTGCGCCCAGCGCACTCGTGCCCGCTTTCTCCCCCGTCTCGTCGTAAGGCGTGCAGGGGGGATGGTGGTGGGGAGACATGAGCCTTGTTGGTAAACAGCCCGTCCCTTGCTCCCTACGCCCCCCCCCCCCTCCGTCTCCTGCAGGACAGTGGCAACGCCCAGCCCAATCGCCAGGAATAACTCGGCAGTCTGGACATATGCGGCGGACTGTGCGGTGCGCGCCGAGGCCTTCCCCGGGGCGGTGTTGCGGCTGGTCCGGGCGAGAGCGCGAGGGCGAGGCGCAAGGGAGGGCCAAGGGGCCATCAAAGAGGTTCCGGCCCCTGCACCACAGTCCTGGAGGCCGCGGCCACGCAGACGGCACGGGTCAGCCGCCAGCAGCGTGATCCACCGCCCGCCCAATGGCGCCTTCTTTCTTTCTCTCTCTCTCCCTCTCTCCACTGCGGAGAGGAATACTAGCGACCTTCCCGCCGCGCTGCTGGAGCCGCCCCTGCCAGCGCCCGCCACAGGATTTACGAAGTGGTACCTCAATGGCCGGAGCGAGTGAGCGGCCTTCGGACACCGGCCAGGAGGAGGCCGGTCCCGTCCAGCCGAGCCGAGCCCGCGCAGCGTCCCGTTCCAAGTCCCTTGGCCACGCTCCGCATCACATAACCGGCCAGCAGCCTGCAGGGGGGGCGGTCACGCAGCCGCTTTCAGCGGGATAATTCGGGGAGTGTCGGAAAGCTAAATGAGGGGCCCGCATTTCTATACAAAAATTCCTTCTAGTCAGACATGTCGGACATGACTTGTCCGCTGGAGGTGCTGCTCACACTTGATTTCGGGACAGCCCCTGTGACAGCAGCCCCGTTCGGCCCCACACACTATCAGAAGGCCAAGCCGCTGTGCGTGGAGACAACAGTGGTGGCGCCGCGGCTGGGGGAGGGGCAGGGTGGGGCCGGCAGGGCGCTCGCAGCGTGCGCCCCAGATAAACCCCACGCCCCGCCCCGACACGCCTAGCGCAAGTCGGGAATTATAGCCAGGGAGAGGAGAGAGGCGGGGCGGCGACTGTCCACTGTCCTTACTTTCCTCGATGAAGGGCGAAAATCTAGCGCAACTAGCGAAAGAAATGACGGATCAGAGGTGGGAATGACAAGTTTCATCTTCCATTCTCCCCCCCCGTCCCTCCGAGCTCCCGAGGCCGCGCGGGTTCGACGCCCGCATCGAGTCTAATCCACAGCGTCATCGAGGCGGCCCTCAGCTGACGGGGCATAGCCAACGCCGAGAGGATTTTCCACTCAACATTCGTAACGAAACAAAAGTAAAAGGAGGCGATCCAGAAAAAAATAAAATATTAACGACAAGACGGGGTCCGGTGGGGGTCAAGTATCAGTGCCGATACCCCTAATGCGGGAGACAGCATACAGATTACAGAGCGGACATATCCCATGTCCGCCGGGCGCCGGATGGGGTATAGCCAGTGTAGCCAGAGGAGAGACAGAGAGACATCACAGACAGGCCTTTCATGCATATCAAACCAACTATGAACTCCACCCGTCAGCAGAAGACATTGTCAGGGGGGAGTGGGAAAAAATGGTCTGGTTTCTGATTTTGCTTTGACAATACCGTACACCAAATTTTAAGCGAGATGGTTATTTGAAGGAGAGCTCTGTCCTGAATATGGTTCACTTCACAAATTCAAGCACTGATCAACAGTTTATGGGACGTAATTGAATGGGGTAAGTAATTAGGTAATATATTAATTTTGAAACTTAAATACTTGATGCCGAATTGCCAATTTTAATGCTATTTGATCAAAGCAAAGATTATGAGCAACCAAGAGAAACAATGCAACCACTTAGTAATAGTAATGAAAGAGAAATAACCTATGTCAAACTGGGACTTCCCCACCCCATACAGAATTAGAGTTTTCAATGCCAAAGTGCCATGAAAGCACAAAGTTATCGTAAATAGGAGACACTCACCTTCTTTGATGTCATCGTCGAGTAATTGCAGAATCTGAGATGCTAGTTGTCCTCGTGCTTGAAGAGAGGTGTCGATAGTAATAAATGAGTCGCATGAGTCACCTGGGGATTCAGGGAGCCATTCCCCTGAGTTCCCCAGGCCACCCAGCGGGTCTCTTTCTGGAGATTGTGCTTGCTTCTTCACATCGTCTTCGAGTAGTTGCCATAAGTCAACCTGCTCCTCAAGCCCTGAGAACCCGGGCGAGAGGGGCTCCTCCTTAAAAATTAAACAGTTTTCGTTACTTATTAAGTCTATAAACTTTTTAAAAAATGGATACAATTTTTCAAGCCAGTACCTTCCAAAAGCTGAGCTCCATAGCAGTGTCCAATGACATTTTTGTTTTTATTCAAATCGAACACTGCTGATAATATATATTGGTCTGGTCCAATGACCGTGGAAATTAGCGTAAACGCCATGATGGCCCTAGAAAATGAAAAAGAGATAAATGTTAATAGCTGTAGTATTTCAGTATTTCAATAAAGCAAATTTCACTAATGGACAAGTCCTACAACCAAAGCAAACAATTTTTAAGTTTATATTTCTATAGGTGACGTTTCCATATGGGAAGGAAAAGTAGTGACACCAAACAATTATTTTTGTTATCCTGACAGTTCTGCAGGAATCAGAATTGATAATGGCTAAGATTTAGTGGCAGTTTTTGATGATAACAATGTCTCTTCAAGAAATAAATGTGACCATCACACTTTTCTTTCTTTGTTACAGAAACCTGTACTCCATTCCAGTTAAAGTGAAAGTAGGTTAGTAGAACACTATGGCACTACCAGTTTTGCAAGAAAAGGTTATTGACTTATTGAGGGTTTGGAAGACAAGTTAAAAGAAGATAATAGACCTACTGGAAAGAATGATATTTGTTCTGATGAATTAAATAAACAAAATGTACAATAAAAAGCAACCTGAAGTAGCAAATTTTTAAAATATATGTAACAGACAAAAATTTGGTGGGGAAAGAAAGAGAGAAAAGTGTTCAGTTCAACCAACAAAAGACCCACTATGTTTCAGGGAGTTAGTTTGGATGTGAGAAGAGAAATCGTTCTCTGGACGTTGGTGAGAAGTGAGCTAGACTAAACGCTTGGTAGATTTTTGTGTTTCTACCACAGGTAAATAAATATAAATGTTCTTCAATAAATTGACTTACGATAGAGAAATAAATTCAGTACAATTCAATAAAATAGCATCAGGGAAAAACCAAATACAACTGCATTGGACAACCCTCGCCACTGAAGTGCAGCAAGTGAAGCAATATGTGAAACATCTATACCATTATTTTGGAATTGAAAGTATGAGAAAAAATACGGTAATGTATGAAAAGCTATCCCTCAGTAGTTAAGCAATGCGTTATTCAATCATTCAAGGAAACATGTGATGATGACTCATATATTGGACCACAACCACAACCTCTTCTGAGAAGCTGAGGGCAGAATGGGTAGCCCGAATTTAATGACATTTTTCACATTGAAGGCAGACAAATTTGATGTATACTTACTCCATTTTTAGTAGTTGTGCTAGCACACTATGTGTGCGGGCGGGTGTGGAACTAGATCCCCATTTTAACCGAAATTAGCGGGCAAAAACAATAATAGCTTCTGTACTGTCGGCGTCATTGAGGAGGAATGAGCATGTGTCGCGCCGAGGAGAACTCGGCGCGTCGTTCCAGGACTACTTTTTTTTTCTTCTGCATGGTGACCGATATGAGGGAATGCGATAGGCAGCGAAAAAAATACTTTATCAGTATGTTGACCCCTTCCACAAATTTGTCTGCGAGGAAGTCGACGGATATCGCGAAAAGTGCGACCTACGGTGGGACTACTTCTTCACCCATGGCAGCTCACAGCATTTCGTCATAGTTGCATCATCTTTTGTTCGGACCTAAAGTTAAGGTATGAGCACCTCATGCTCTGGCTATATGAACAGAGAGAGTTCTAAATGCCCGGGAAACTCTGCAATTTCACATCATATGATGCATTTCATTCATCCCAAACCACAATAGTAGCGCAAACCCTGAAGGTGTACACGAAGGCGTTCAAAATTTGCCGCTTCATTTCTTCTGCTGCACCGCCCTCTATATTCGTCATGCAGAAAATGGCGCGCTTTTCCCGCTCTTTCACATTTTGGCTTTTGTTTACGTTTACAGCTGATGTTGTTATGTTGTAGTGTTGTAAGTTAATTTTTTTTGTCAGGCCGAGGTTAGGACTCGTGTCCTCCGATGTTATATGTCGTTAACTGGAAGGTTCCTATTGACTATGTCAATTCAGTTCACAATGATAGGAAACAAATTAAGAAATTTTGGTGGACTGCTTTTTCAAGAATCCACCCACCTTGAAGCTACCTGCAACTTTGGTGAATTGCGATAGGTAAAATAAAAATATCTGTTGAAGGTTTTGTTTCTTCTGTAGCAAGGGTGTATTGAAAGTCTTAATGAAACCTTTTTAAGAATCCATGCTTGTGTATTTCACCTATGAGTGCCACTAACTTCACCCCCATCATTGCTTCTGAATTCGTGGAAGCCGGTTTGATCTTCTGATGAAATCTAAGTTTTCCTGGTATAAAAAATAAAATGGTATAGATAAAGCATTGATTGTCTTCTATTCACGTACATCGACATCTTTTCTCTCTTGCAAGTAGAAGTTACCACTACAATTTATTGATGTACCGTTTTAAAAATTGTTTGTATTTTTCTCATAGGGTTGATATTTTTTGCAAGACTTTACGAGAATGTAGACATTACTGGGTATTTTGCTAATTACTTCGTTTGTCTTTTCAGATTTTGCTGAGTAAATGGCGCAAAAGGTGATGGCGGTAAGTATTTTCCATCTTCTTAGCCCATCACGAGTCTTTTGAACTCTAACACAAACTGTATTTATATTTAGG